CTTGCCAGGGAAGCGCTTATTCCACTGAGCCATCTCCTCAGCCCCTAGTATGCTTTCTATTGCAGGATATAAAACTAACCCCCACCTATGGAATGTTAAGCTGACGTCCAAGACAGTCACAGCCTGCCATAATTCAATATCCTACTATTTCTGGTTGTATCAAAAAATAAACAACTAGAGAATGATTTTACCCTAAAAAAAATCATTTACACTTAAAAAATGCGATGAGGTGGGATTCCCTCCTTTTTAAAAATGTTTCTAGAGCTACTAAAAAACTTGCATCTACAAAATAGTTGATAAAAATATTCCTCTGGATTGTACAAGAAGGGAGACAGGGAGCTCCGATAAGACATGGTGTGTAATTAGTCAGACTGGCCTTCTCTCTCTTCTGCTTCATCAGAGGTTGCGCTCTCCTCATTTTTAGTTTCTCCATTTTCCGCAGGTAAATCTTCCTTGGTTTCTTGATCAGCCCTTCAGCCTGTTTTCCCTTGGCTCCCCTTTTCCCTTTTGCTTGCACTTTTTTGTCCGAAGATTTATCCTTTCCCGCTGCCTTTTTTGGCTTCGTTTCCACTTTAGCTGGAACAGGTTTAGCCGACAACCTCTCCGATCTCCTCTTGGGCTCCTCCTTCGCCGCCCCTTCGGCCGAGCTGACCTTCCTCTTGGGCATCTTGGCGGCGCGGGGCGCGTGCGGAGGCTGCGGGTCGAGGCGCACGGGAGCCTCGCGGAGATACGCAGCTCCACCGCTGCCGTTCCTCCCGCCGCCAGAGCTGCTGGAACCTGCATTCATAGCTTTAAAATGCAGATTTTCAAACATGTCCTTCTCCATTTATGATGCCTCGATATTATCTATTGGCTGATCGCCAAGAAGGATGGTAACTTATCTGTCAATGATTTGGTTTCATTGACTGTTGCCTCTCTTGATTTCAATGGTTGTTGCCTATACTGGTAGTTTCTTTTTTTGAAAGATCAGTTAGACTTGTAATCTTGAACTGCATGTCACAGCTTTTGCTCTGAGTGTGCTGGTGGCCGCTTACTGGCAGGTGGAGGACTGTTCCACGCTACACTTTCCCTTTCCTCACAGTTTTCCATCCTGCTTTCTATTACTGACAACGTCAATTTTTTATCATTAAAATTGCTAACAATTAGAGTATGTTTTATAATTGGAGCTAAAACCTGCCTATGTGCTTTGTCTATAGGCTGATTATAAAATCAGATGGTGGGCTGGGGACATAGCTTGGCGGCCTAAGCACCTGCCCAACAAGCATAAGGACCTGAGTTCGATCCCTATAACTGCATGCTAGGCTAGTCCGAGGACCCCAGGTGTGCCATGCAGGCCACAGAAACCGGCCCTGGTGATGCACATCTGTAATCCCAGTGCTGGGGAGGCTGAGACAGGAGGATCACTCAGAGTCCGAGCTGTGTAGGGGGGGCTCTCTACCCAATAAATAAACAAATAAACAAATTTTAAAAACCCTTCAGATGCCAACAAACTGCTTCTACGTCACGACAATCTGACAGTCAGCTTTCCAGTCACTGCGAGGAAACCTCTGAGGTAATCTCCTGTAGAGGAAGAAAGGTTCCCTCATGGATACAGAGGTTCCCATCTGCTGGCTCAGGGCTTTGGAGTGTGGTGGCCTGGCACATCATGGTGGGGATACGTGGAAAATGAGGTCTGTGTCACCACAAGATGGCAATGAAGCAGAGAGAGACAAGAAGGCCAGGGGCTTTTCCCTTCTGGGCCGGAACCCCACTTCCTCCCGCCAGCCTCTCCTCCCCCAGCCTCCCTCCAGCACTGAAGGCTTATGGGGAAACTTCCAGACAACCGCTGTGTAGACATTTTTTACCCATGTGCCTATTTATCATTTTACATTTCATTTTCTGCACATTTTATTCATGAGCATCTATTGGGATGCTTTAACACGACTGTCCTTAGAATCAAGGTCAAGTAGGTTCTCTTTCCTTCATGGCATTGATGACATAAAATCAATGAGCTCGTATTTAGAGCTCTGCACTTGGAGTAAGCCTTGAGGTTTGCTCAAGCCTCCTGAGGTTTGTAACCAGTCTCTAGCATCAGACTCATCTGGTGTTTCCCATGGGAAGAATGAAGCTCCCCTCTCAGCCACCATCCTTGTCCCCTGCCACCATGTGAGCCAGGGCTCTGCTGTGTAGCGGCAGAGTGTTGTGCTTGGGCTTCTCTGCCTGCTGTCTGGGGATGGAAATTCTGCGTCCATGATTCCGCATCCACTCCCAGCAGGCCTCTGGGCTGGGCATTTGAGCACAGTCTTACACATGGCAGTGGTTCTCCTTAGATCATTGTTTCCAAATGTCTCAACTCTTATTCCTGAACGATGATATTTTGACTGCATATGGCTTTCTAGGTTGGAAATTATTTTTCTTCCAAATGTTGAAGAAATTGTTGCATTGCCCTGTAATATTTGATCTCTGTGCTGAGATATTTGAACTAATTTAACCTATTTTGTTTCTTTTACTTCTCTTTCTTTTCTTTCTCTCTCTCTCTTTTTTTTTTTTTTTTTTTTTTTTTTTTTTTTTTTTTTTGTAGTTGAACTCAAGAGTTTCTGCCCTGAGACACACCCTCACCCCTTGTTAATTTTTTCTTTTTTAGACAGGATCTTGCTTAGTTGCCCAGGCTGGTTTTCTTATATATTTTTGTTATCCAACCACTTTTAGAAATAATGAATCAGGCTCACTAGATCCGAAGAGTTTCGCAAGTGTCTTCCGCTATTGTACGGCTAGTTTTTTTTCCCAAAAAGTTCCTTCCCTGCACTCCACTGTGACTGGCAGTTTTATGTGTGAAGGTTAGAGGATCTGACAGGACCTTTATTTCTGAGTAAGTGATGTGGAAGTCAACGGACAGAGGGAAGATTTTTTTGCTAAACATTAGAGCAAAGAGATTTAAGCTCCTAGAACCCAATAGAAGCCCAAGTAATAGAATCATTTGTCTCGGAGAGAGGCTGCCTGTCCTGCAGATTTACAGGAGGGAAGAGGCACGGGCAGCTACGTGGTGCGACGGCCTCCAAACGGCTTCCTCGTCTCCACTTTCAGCTTATTGGCTGGAAGAGCGGCTTCCGCCTCCAGCGGCAGCAGTGCCTCTGTCGCAGGTGCACGTGTCTATGTCACGTTCCAGGGGCCTTTCATCTATGTCCTGTCTCTCAACGTTTTGTTGGAGGAAATTAGAAGGAAAACTAAGATGGGAAAGGTGGTCAGGGGAAGAGGGGTCTATGTAGGGGAAACCAAAGTGGGTTAAATGCAGAAAGGAGACCCATTGTTCCGCATAATGATTAGGCATTAATAAAATTTCTTAAAAAGAAGAAAAGTGTTGGAAGAACTCTTCTGATTTTAGTTCCTCCCACTGTGGTATTAATAAGATTATTATTATTAGTATTTTTAACCTACTGGAATCTCTATGGAGTCCTAAGATCAAAGGGAGGCTGGCTCCCCATCCCGTCTCTTTTGCACTGAAACTGACATCCCCAAAGCTATTGTTAGAACCACTGGAGATTACTTGTTAATCTCTCACTCCCTCTCCTCAGTTCTGGAACAACTGACAGCAAAAGAAAGTCTTCCACCTCATAGAAAACAGTCACCCAAACCCCATCTGTGACAGCTGACATCTTACCCATTCTTTAAAAAAGTAAAGAAAGCAAGACTAATACGTGTTCTGGCTCTCTGATTACATCAATTAAGTAGGACACTCTCCCTGCTGGGAGAAGAAACGGAAGCAGTGAAGGTGATGCCGGCTCTTCGTCCCACGTGCCTGTGAGGGGAGAGTGTTGTAAGTTTCGGCTCTGTAAACAGGGGTAGGAATACAGGGAATAATGTGATTGCGGTAGGCTTTCTTAATTATTTTATAGAAAAAGGAAGCTGAAACCTTGGGAGGTTGATGACTAGAGGTTCAGAAGGGATAAATGATAAAGCTTGACCCTCACATTTCTAAACTGGAGCCTTTTAAGGTTTCATTTGTGCTGTATTCTTTTTCGATGTTATGGTACTATGATCTTAAACAGCAGGTCACCAAGTCTAAGATATAGTCCATGAGATTAATATTTATTTAGAATTATACTCTCACATAGTCACTATACTTTAATTCCTAAGGCAAGAGAGGAAC